TTTTTTTTATCAATTCTTTCAATATATGTAGGTTTTTGTAGTTGCTTGTTTGTGCTATAATCTCTTATATTGCAACTATTATACAAATCTTATCCATAACTATCAAGCTAAAGTCACGCTATTAATGTCTTAAAAAATGCAAAAACAAAAATAGCTCATACATCACGTAGTACAAAAATCTTTACAGCTGCTTGGGTACAAAACTTTAGCAATTCGCACAATGTATATTAAAACTTTAAGAGTTTTAAATGAATTTTCGTAGTTTATTTTTAATTTCAATAGTGGCTAGCCCTGGCTGCTTCTAATTTTAGGCAACCGTGTCCTCGACACACATTTCGTCAGAGATTTCGGTCGAGAGTCACGAAATCAATTGGCAAAGTGAATAAGCAAAAGTGTGAGAAGCCGAAGCAGAAGCGAAGCAAATTGTTTGGAATTTGCATAAATTATCAGCTGGCAATTGGCAGGGCGAAATGCAGCAAATTGAAACAATGAAGCGACCATTTGTAGTGCACTCAAACTCAAACTGACAGCATTCTCCTAGCGAGGGGGAAAAAGCAGGAAAATAAAATAAAAATAGGTCCCCTTCGGTGACGGTTGCTTCAATAAAATTTCGCCGAGTTTGCTTCAATTTGCGGCAATTTTCGCGACGTTGCAGCAACTCCTGCATCCTGGCTGCATTTGCTGCAGCATTTTGTGTGAAGGACTCTTGCAAATGGCTCGTGAAATCAGGCACAGTCACGCCCAGCCACAGGCAGCGCCTCCCCCATTTGCTGCCGTCCGCCTTGGCGGCTTATTGACAAAAAGACCCAAACGAACGCTCAAATAAAACGAAAAGTCTTTTGCTTTAGGTTTTTCGCTTTTCATTTCGCCTTTTTTTTTTTTTTTTTTTTTTTTGGTTTTTCTTTTTGGGTGAGCCCGGAGTCTGCTCTAAATTGCACTTTATTTGCGGTTTGTTGATTTTATTGCACAACTTTGTTTACAATTCTGCTTAAATTTCATTACACGATCCCAGTGAAACGAACCAAGCGAATCGAGGAGCGAGAAGCAAAGAGAGAAGCAACCAACCGGCGGACATTCAAAATGAATGACGGAACCTTGATATGATTTAATATTTGAGCAGTGCCCAAACCAAATGCCAAGTGGAGCAAATTGTGCTGCAAGCACCATTTCAGATAAATATATATATATATATAAAATGGGTCAATTGTGTATTGAATGAGCGACAAACCTGGTTAGACAAATTGCTGTGCTTAATTAGTTGAGTTAGTTTTGGTTTTTTTTTTGACAGCAGTGCACATTTTGAAATGCAGAACTATGCTAGGGAAAAGGAAGTATTGAGGAACTAAAGAGCGTACTGAAGCTAAAGAGTTTCAATTAAATACACTTTTAGACCCTGAAGAGGCTATTAGAGTTTTGCGTAACGCAAAGCAGGGAACATCTTCGATCCCGTAATGTATATATATTCTGAATCAACATCAAAGTCCAACTTGATAAAGGCCATGTCTTTGGGTAGATCGCACGGGGGCCTCACTGTGGTGGAGTCAGCCAGCCTGCGGAAGAACTTGATCTTATCTGCAACCTCTGTTAGATGGAATTCTATTTTTTGATTTACCATCAATCGAATTCCACACTTTATTAAATAATAGTTTGGTTAAAAGTTAATTGTGTTTTTCTTTTAGACGTATTATCGCACGTGCGCATTGTTAGTTTTTGCAGGCTTCTAGGGTTTGCAGCTATTTTTACATACAAATCTATTTTTGACCGAAGCGATCTACATCTATCTGGAGATATATTCAAACAACAAACAGTTCTTAATTCGTTTTTAATTCAATTGCTTAATTTTCTTTGCTCTCAGACACACACACACACACACTCACACATACTCATGCAAACTTAAACACAATCCGCAGTGCAACACGGCCTGCACAGTATCTGTGTCTGCATCTGTGTATCTGTATCTTTAACTACCTTGTGCCTGCATCGCGTTGAGCTTTCATATTATTACCAACCCCTGCCCACCACCGCACTCACCGTGTGCATTTTATTTAATTTGCTTGGCACTTTGTTTGCCTGCCTGTGTTTGCCTGTTTGCTTATTTGTTTTGATTTCTCATGCTTCGTGCTCTGTTTGTCTCTGTTTTCTTCTTCTGCTTTTGGTAGTTCTGCTTCTTGTTAACATTGTTGCACGAATTGCAAATCGGTTGAAGGTTTTTTCCCATATTTTTTTGTGTGTAGGTGACTTTTTGGTGTCGACTTCCATTCACTGAAAGCCGCCGCCGACGACGCCCACTGTTCCTCAAGTATTTTGACCTTTGCCTTGCAGCCTTTGACCGATGGCGTGTTTTTCATATATTACGACTAAATCACAGAGTCATCAAAGCCAACTACAAACACTTACTGAAATGTTGGTGCAAGCACAATGAACTTGGCTTAAACCAAGACTGCAGGCAACAAAAAATGTGTTTAGCGTGTGCCCCTCATAAATTACGTGTATTAAAAAAAAAGGCCACATATATAAGCCAATGGATTTTTGGATTTTCTTGCAATAAAAGTAATATTAATTAAAAATAAAAAATGATATAAATAATATAAATAAAAATAATCATAAAATAATATCATTGTTCATTGTCTAAGACTAGTATTATTATTTTAAATTTTATTTTTATTTATATTTTTATTATATTATAAACAATGAGAAAAATATGGTTTATAATATTCCGCAGCTTTATGACACTAGCCACAGGACTTGTAATTCGTTAGCATTATATTTTAATATGAATAATAAATCCTTCATTGATATATATTTTTTGATATATATTCAATCTTCGGCCTTGTCTTATTTTTGTATTTTTACTGGTATTGTAAACTATACGAAATTTATTTAATAATTATTAATTAATTATTCAATATAATTTTTAATTGTTCGTTTAATCTGTCTCGTTCGACTGTTAGATATATATTATTTTATTATACATTCAATCTTCGGGCTTCCTCAAGTTTTATTTAGATTTATCTTTTATCTTGGCTCTATAGATAACAAGCATAACAAAGTTATAAGCGACCTCATGAACAGAAAAAAATAAATAAAAAACAAACACAAATCAGCGCAGACAATAAAAAACAGCGCCGCAAACTATGCAACGAAAAAACCCAAGTGTTAACAAAACGCGTATGTATGTGTGTAAGATTTAGAGAGAGAGAGAGAGAGAGAGAGAGAGAGAGAGACAGACAGGTAACGTGAAAGGGAGAGGTAGAGCATAAGCAAGGACAGCAGCTCGCCTGGCTGGCAGGATAATCAAAAATGTTAATTTGGCAAAAACAACAACAAGACAAAAATCAAGAAGTTGTTTGCAAGCAGTTGCCGCACAGGGTGACGCAGTCCGTGCGTTGTGAACTGCGCTGTGTGCCAGGCGCAAATGATGCGCCAGCTGCCATTATCACAGCCTTCATTCATGGATACCAACCGATGGCAGCAGACGAGGACACGGCCGAAGGCGAGCACGAGGGCTCGCAGCAGCTGACGCAGCAGCAGCAGCGGAAGCAGCCTCCCGTGTCCATCGTTTCGTGTGTGCCGAAAAAAGTTTGACGAGCACTGGAAGCGCAAACAGGGATAAACACAATGGAAGTCATTGAAGCTGAGCGCACAAATGCGAGCGCATGAGAGCGAGCTTTAAGCTGCAGTTAAGAGCGCGCACAAAACCTACAAGTGGCTTGTAAGAGTGAAACGAAGACAGCACCACACGTTACGCTCTCTTAACTGGCGCTTGTGCGACTCTCTAGCAGCGCTGTGTGGGCGTCCTGTAGTTTTCCCGTTTGTAAAAGCCATTTTTCATTCATGCGAATTTACTTTAAATTAATTTTTTTGTGGGGTCATAAATCATTTTTGGCTCTGGACCTACGCAGCGAGAGCGTGTGCATGTGCGTGTGTGTGTGTAGATGTGCGAGAGCATAAGCATGTGTGCGTGCGTATGGGTGCTTGTGCATGAATGAACGTGCGTGAAATTTGAAATAATTTGAGTTAGTTGCGTTCGCATTGAAGGATTTGGGTCAAGTGAGCTGTGGACTATGATTGGCTCTGTAAATGTTAAGATATTGAGTGGTATCGATAACAAATCTTTACTTAAGTAGCTGTTTTTTTTTTTAATTAATCAGCTTTCAAGTAATAACAATTGCTTGAGAATTGTGTGGAGTTTGGGATACTTTGGAAGAAGTGGAAATAGGAAAATAGAGTTTAATTGTTTTGCTTAGAAAACTTTAACTGGAAGCTGGAAGTAAGTGACTTAGATAATTGAAAAATTCTTTCGATTGTAAACTAGGCTATAGTTTAATAAAATTTAAATATTACAAAACATATTTGAATAATTTTTTCTTATTGTTGGTACTAATAAGATGAAATAAAATGAAATTATTATAAGTAGGAATATTTTAATATAGCTAACAATTAAATTACATTCCTTCTTGTTCAAATCTTTAAAAATTTAATAATTTACAACAGAAGCAAACCAGTTTTAAAAAAATATCAATTTTAAATCCGCTTGCACTCAGCTGCCAACTCAATATTCAATTGAGTGAGCCGCTAACCAAAGCTCTTATCTCATACCCTATATGGCGCTCACACACACATACAGAGCATTGCGAAACTACCTCAAGTAAAGCTCAATGGCGCGCGCGCTCTTTCGCAGCCTCTTGCAAGTTCTTTTTTTGAGGTCCTGCCTAAGCCAACATGCGAACTAGTCGTCGAGTCGGAGTCGGATTAGGTTAAGTTGGGTCTCTCTTTGGGCACTTCCAGCCAGTCGCTCGCAGCTGGCTTCCAGGCACGAGCGTGTACGAGCGCATTCCCAGTCACGTTTTAGCATCCCCACGCTGTTTGGGGCATCCAATCGGTCTGCTGCAAGAGATGTTCGCTCGTGTGCGAGCGAGCTTAACGAAGCTCTCCGATTCGCCTGCTGCTGCTGCTGCTGCTGCAGTAGTCACTTCCAGCGTCGCCTGGCTGGCAATTGCGGCCTGGCAGCGCATTCAGTTGGTGTTCCGGTTTCGGGTTGTGCTGTTAGTTGCCTTTTCCTGCACAGCCAAAGCAGAGCTAAGCGGAGACGCGTCGCGGTCGTGCCTGTGTCTTTGTCTGTGTTTGTGACTTGGACTGTGACTGTGTATGGAAGCGCGTGCGTGCGTGTGTGTATGTGTGTGTTTGTTGTCTGTCGTCGCTTAGCACTGCGCGCGCGTTTTGTCAGTGTATGTGTGCTTGTTTGTATGTGTGTGCGCGTGTGCCCGTGATTCTCTGTGCTTCTCTGTGCATATGTGTGTGTGTGCGTGTGCGTGTTAAAACAGTGTGACCATATATATATATATATACATATATATATATATATATATTAATGTATGTGCGTGCCTGCGTTTATTGTGCACCAATATACATACACTAATACATAAGTCCACATACATGGCAACTTTTAAGCGCCCAGCAGGATGCTCAAGCAGCAGCAGCAGCAGCTAAGAAACAAAAAATGAGAAGAAAACAATACTAGCAGGTAAATCGGCGATGCCAAGTCAACTAGTCAGGGAGATATAGCCACATTTATGTATATATATATATATATATATATGTGTCTATATATATTTATATTTATAAATATTTATATATGTGTATATCGAAGTGCGTGTGCGTGGAACTGAACATTTTTGCCTTGCGCTTTCCAACAGGAGGAAATTGATATTCTTATTTCTTGTGCTTTTTTGCAAAAAACATATAACGGCACGAGGCTCGCTCTCTGCACTGTGTGTGCGTGTGTGTGTGTGTGTTTGTGAAAATTCCATCATCATCATCATCGGGACTCGCGCTGGCAACATTGTTGTACACATATTTCTTCTTCTTACACATCAGCGTCCTTCTGCCTGCCATCGCACGCGCTGTTTCCTGCCCAGCTCTATCTCAACATCTATGTATTTTATTTACTGGTTGATTTGCCTCTTCATCTGCGACTGCTTATTCTTCTTCTTTTTCTATATTTTTTTATTGCTGCGGAAAAGCGAAATGCGAAAAACGAATTGCAAATGGCAGGCAAATTTCTAATTGACCATCAAATAAATATTTCAAATTGCAGCAACAGCAAAAGCAACAGCAGCAGCAGCCAAAAAGTATCTTTCAGATACATGTCAAGTGCAAGGCTGTGTGGGTGTGTGTGTCTGTGTGGCTGTGTGTATAACAGGTGCCAAAAAATATATAAATGGAAATGGCAAGCTTTTATGCTCGCATTGTGCCAGTATCTTTTGCTGCTTCTTCTTCCTTTTTGTTGTGGGGCCATAAAATAAAATCATAAGAAATTGTTTTGACATTGTCAACAAGTGAACAACTTGTGAAAATGGCTTATGAATAGTGTGAATATTTGTGTGAAAAATGAATGTCTGTAGCGTATCAAATTCTCTCCCTCTAATTCGCAAGCAGTTTTAGCATGTTTTGACTTAAAAGCTTCGCCATGCCATGATCATTGCTGAAAGCTTCAGTTGAGGTCTTGAAGTTGTTTAAAGTAATTTAATGGAACATTTTATTAAAATCTTCCGCTGATAATTTTATTGTAGTTAAGATATATGTTTTAAATTTATCTTCCATCTTAAGGGCATATTAAATATCTAATGTTCTATCTGCTTAACTTATTTAATTTTAGCAAAAAATGCAACAACAGCACACAATGGATGTTAGAACTAATTGAAAAGAACACCATAAAATAAATCAGCGCAAATAGAAAATACTGTTTTAATAGTTATGTCAAGCAATATTTTAATGTTTGAGTGAGAAGCACAGAAACAAATAATAATACCAAAAAGTGTTTGTGCTTGTGGAAAATAAGAAAATTAAGAGAGAACCAATCCCAAAAAACCATGAATTGGAAAAGTGCGTGAAAAGCAAAAACAACTGAAAACCAAACGAAATTCAATCTCTTATTGAAGCAATTGCAAAAGGTTTAAAAATAAAAAACAGCACAAACTATAAACATAAATTACAAAAAATGTTTAAGGCAACCAAAAGAAAATTTTGAAATTTATTGTAAATATTGAGAAGCTATAAAAGTTCTTTACATCTTCAACTTATACAAACAAATACCAAAAGTAAATTACAACAAAAAAAAAACCGAACAAAATACGGCCACATTTTTCGCTGAATGATTTTTAATATTAATTATAATACCCAACATAAATTTAAATCCAACATTTTCTATTATATAGAAAAAAAGTATTATAATTATATACAGAATATAAAAAACAGGAATCTCATATAAAATAGTTCATAAAAACTTAATAAGCAACCGAAACACGCACAAGATTGAACGAGAACGTTTATGATTTTACATCTAAGAAGCATATATATAAAAAATATTCAATAAATTGGCTGCATTAATGATTGACGTATTGAATGTAGTTAATATGGCAACAGTTTTCCATGCAAATTTATTCATAATTCAAACATAAACAAGACAGCAAATTTTCAATCATTGACATTCGTGACGTAACATATGCATATTCAATAATCGCAACTAATTAAAACTAATAATATAATAATAAAAACAAATACGAATAATAATAATAAGAGATTTAATAATCACATTGTGCTACAACTAATTGTACTCCACAAGTAAATTCATTAAATCAACTAAAAACCCGCATGAATACATCAACATTCATGTTCATCGTAATTACATCTTATTAAAAATATATATGGCAAATGAAAATGCTCAAAATTTGATAAAATATTTAAAATATAATAATAACAAACAATAAATGGAATATTTATAGTATTCAGCTAGTTCAACTAAATCTTTATATATATACACGACGACAACCAACAAATTGGAAAGCGACAACATTTGACTTACGAAATACAGAGAGTAAAAAGGTGAGTTTTTGAAATAATTATAAGTTTAAAACGGATTTTAACAAGATGGGTCTCATCTATTGTGCAAATAGAACGGAAAGTTAGACATATATCTTTACATGTGCTTCCTATTTAAATATTCTTAAAATTAAGCAGTTTGGAAGGCGAATTGAGCATTGAATATAAAATAAAAGGTTCAGTATTTAAGGTTAAATATTAAATATTAAAAGTTAAAAACTTATGCTATTTAATCTTTCTTTAATATTGTAAAGTAAAGTATGTCAAAAAAATCATAATCCAAGCATCAAAACATTTTTGATATTTGCCTTTTTCTGCCATTGGGTTCTGAAATTATTTTTAACATATCCAATTTTAAACAAAAATAGTGAAACAAAACATTGAAACGTAAAATTATGGTTTTATTTTAAATTTTTCGTAGACTCCATCAATTTTTGCTAACCAAAAAAACAAGGTATTTAAGTTCAGAAAGAATTGTAAGAACTTATTTACTTTTATCAACTTGGTTAAATATCGTAAAATAATTAAAATAGCAGCACGGAAAACAATACAATCGCAATCGCAGTGCTGTTAATAGAATTCAAAGCAGACGCGCAAGAACGTGTGGGTGTATGTATACAGAAATTCTTGGAGTTTGCGCCTGCTGCTGACAAGTGTGCTGGCAAAACAATTGGGTTTTTTTTTTTGATTTATAGCCTTGTGGTGGTAGCGGGGAGGTGGCGATAGCTATAAAATGAAAGATCCTTGATGGATATATAAACTATTCTAGAAGCTACATATCATGTTTAATGGCTTTAGCTCTTATTACTTACCCAATTTGCTCAAACAACAGAATTCTAATATCGATTTTTATCGATTACATGGAAACGCAACAAATTATCGAATATCGGAAACAAACTCGATCTGCGCAGGCACTAGGAGGACCTACAGCTAAAATTTCAAGTCTCAAGCTTTCATAGGTTCTGATATTCTTCCGTTCATACGGACGGAAAGACAGACGGGAATGTCTAGATCGACTCTGCGGTTGATGCTGATCAGGAATATTTATACTTTATGGGGTCGGATATACTTCCTTCTGCCTGTTACGTACATTTGCACAAATACATTATACCCTTTTTATCCATTTTAAACGGTAAATTGCTAAAAAATTAATTATTAGGCAAATATAACAGAATGTTTTATCTTTATGCGTTTAAAATGGGTTTCAAAGGAAGAAATGGGAGTTATGGATGGTAAATAAAACAGAGGGTATATAATCAAGAGTCTACCATATCCCTAATCTAAGCAGAATTTTGAACAAATTTTAAAAATTAAAATCAAAATTAAAATTGAAATATCTTTAGTTCTCATTCAATTCTATTCAAATATATAAAGAAAGAGACCACAAATTAAATACCCTATGAGGCATATCTAAAAATAAATGTTTAATTGAAAACTGGAAAGCTGGAAACTTAAACCCTGCAGAAATTCGAAATTTTTCACAACATTAAAGGCTGAAATTTTAAAATTGCAGAAATTATAAATTTTCAGAATCCTGAAATTATTTTAGGAAAATCGCTTCAATCTTTAATTTAAATAATATTATTTTCTTCGCATTTTAAACATATTTGAAATAAAAATAAAAATGATTATTCTATTTATTTTTGTTATTAATTTTATACATATTATTATTATTATTATTATTTTTATTATTATTATTATTATTATTATTATTATTATTATTATTATTATTATTATTATTATTATTATAATTATTATAATTATTATTATTATTAGTATTATTATCATTATCATAATTTTGATTATTATTTTAGGTTATATTATAATTATTAATAAAAATTGTTTTCCTTTTTATTATCGTTATTGTTATTGCTTAATAAATAATTTTAATACATAATTTATTTTATCAATTATATATATATTTTTTATTTTCAAATCATTATTAAATAACTACCTCTTAAAAATTTTCCACTAAAATCACAATTTAAACTTGATGTTATTTAAAAGAGAGGGAATCGTTTTGTAAGCAAAATCATAACTGCAGGCACATCATTTTCCCAGTTGCCGCAAAACCGCCCATTCCAGCCGCCTGCTTCGTATTGCCCCCGGGTGCAGTGTGTCCCCAAGTAGCCACAGCTCGATTTTGGGGGTTTTGTTGTTGTTGGTTGAGTTTGGGTTTTGGTTCTTGGGCGAGCATTTAAAAAATGTTTCATTGACCTTTGACGACCAAGCACACACACTCACGCACATACACAGACAGCTGTCAGGTGGGTGGGTGTGGTTGGGATGTGGTGGGGGCAATGCCCAAAAGCAAACAGCAGCCACCGCAACTCTGACGACAATAAAAAGCAGCAGAGCAATTGCCAAATAAATAACTTGACGCTCGCTCAGCGCGTTTATTTGCTTTTGTGCTGTGGCCTGGGCTTGATTTTCATTTTCATTTTGCCAACACAGACACACAGACACACGCGCCTCCACACGCACACCTACACAAATACAGAGCTCAGGCTCTAGACTGTTGCATATTAAAAGTGCCTCAGCTTCCTGTTTTCCTCCATTCTATTTTATTCTTTTTGCAGCCGCTGCTCATTTGGCTCTGTCTAAAAATCTGAATCTACATCCTCCTGAATCCTCCTTGATTTTTTTTTTGGTTTTTTCATTAATAATATGACACAATTCCTTCAGCATTGTCCTGGCCAGATGCGCCTGAGAGCACTTTTGGCTTTGACGCCTCCTTATGCTCATTATGCTCATTTGAGGCTTTGTCTTCTAGCGCCCCTCTGCAATCGCTTGCGCCCACTGCCAGGCAACGTTTTTCTGCTCTTTCTTTCATCATTCATTCATGCAGCAGCACTCACACACTCACACGTACACCCACGCTTACACACTCGCACACACGTTGAGTTACATCTGCAAATCCAAATGCAAACACAGCAGCAACGAAAAAGACCAACAAAGCAAGAGTGCAACAGCCACGTGTGTGTGTGTGGGTGTGTGTGTGTATGCGTGTGTGGGTGTGTGTGCCTGTGAATCTCAATTACACTTAAATAATTAAAGTCCGTTCGTTTTTGCTTGCAGTGCGTGCAACTTCAGCTTACAAAATGACCTTATACGTTAATTAAGATCAAAACGATTTAACGATGCTAACTTAGAAAACGTATTTCCAATTTGTATATTTTTGTATTGTTATGCAATTGAAAACTTGAAAAACGTGGTCCTTTTAAGTTTGTTAGATGCTTTGATTTGAATTGCCGTAGTCGGGAGTACCCCGCTCATGATACACACATTAAAAATATTTTTGCAACACAAGAAGGTACATACCTAATTTTTTGCCAAATATATAATCTAAATCTTACCAATTGAGTGGATGTACAGATTAAAATAAATGTAATTGCAGAAAATTATCAAATACCCCATCTATGCAAAGGACAACAACTGAGTTTATCAACCTAGCAACTTTTGCCAACGTGGCAAAGAGTATTCATGCATTCGTCCTTAGGTTTTTTTTTTTTTTTGGTTAACTTTCATTTGTTAACTGTTGTTGTTGTTGTTGTTGGGCGAAGTCCTTAATTATGTGCCAGAGCCCATGACTGACTGCCACAGTGGCACACTGGCTGAAAGGACACACACGCGGGCACAACTGATAGGCTCGACGGCGGCGGCGACTGCGACTCGCGACTTGCTCGTTGTCCTTCTCCTTGTTGCTGTCCTGCTGTGTCAAGTTGGGCGAGCCTGAGAGAGGGAGATAGAGACTCGAGACTCAAGTCCTTGTTGCGCTTGTGTTTATCGCTCGTGTTTGGCCGTTCTTGATGAGTGTTGTCGCCTCTTCATTGTTGTTGTTGTTGTTGTTGTTGTTATTGTTGTTGTTGCTGGTCGTTTTTGAAGAGGGCCGTTGTAGAGGGTGTCATGTCCATTTAGTTGTTGTTGTTGCTGCTGCTGTTGCTGCTATTTTTCCTGGCACTTTGAGGCGACGCCGCCTGCTTACTGCTTATTTATGTATGAAGGACCTTAAACTTTAGCTGCAAATGCAAATGGCCGCGCACAGCACACACACATACGCACAAAAACCAGATGATGAATTAGGCACAGCAATGAAAAACAACATTGAATAGTTTGTTTAAATCAAAGAGCAAATACCCTAGCAGGCATATCTACAAATACATTTTATCTAAAAATTTGTATTTGCTGAAAACTTTAATTCGAATTTTCCAATAGATTACTTGCTGGAATATTATAACTTG